CAGCAAATGTACAACGTTTCGACAAGGTTTTGTACATTTGCTGTTATGTTAAACTTATATTAAAGTTTTCTTCATTACCCATTCAAGTCGTCTCCAAGCTTTATTAGTCTCAGAGTGGGTTCCTCATCATTGAATCTGAATATATATACATTTATATTAGTTTTTATTCCTAGTTTTTTGTTATAACTTGGTGTAATGGCAATCAGGATGGAAAGTGGTTCTCACTCATAATTATTGTATAGATTTTATCATATGTTCGGCTAATATATATCATTGTGAAAGTTGTTGAGAGCTATAGTGAGCACATCTGCATCAGTCTTCCACTCTGCATCATACAGATGTTTGTGTGATTAAACAAGATATAGAAAGTACTTCGTATACATTATAAAGTTTTACATGATTGGCTTTTAATAAATTTACTTGCATGAACTAATACATTCTTGAATAGACATATTGGAAATCTTTAAGATTTTGCCACTCTGGGTAAGTGTGGTCAATAATTACATAATATTAGTGGCAACTCTCAACACTTACATGCTAAAATCTCATAGTGTTGGCCCAGCATGGCCAGGTGGTTAGGGTGCTTGATTCGCAATCTGAGGGTTGTGGGTCCAAATCCCTGTCCTACCAAACATGCTCTCCATTTCAGCCATGGGGCATTATAATGTGACAGTCAATCCCACTATTTGTTGGTAAAAGAGTTGGCAGTGGGTGGTGATGACTATCTGCCTTCCCCTCTAGCCTTACACTACTAAATTAGGGACGGTTAGCACAGATAGCCCTCGTGTAGCTTTGTGTGAAATTCAAAACCAAAACAATCTCATAGTGTTAGCTATTTGTAAGAATGTATGAAAAACAGTTTTCACATTTTTATTATTAATACTAAAATGGTAAGTTACAAATCTTAAAGTATATTTAGTGCTTGATTTCCCCATATTGAGTTTTGAAATATTCATTTAAAAATGTATCATGAAATATTAGTGTATATAATTTCAGTGAGTTATTAACTCAAAATTGTTTTGTATCAACTTTGAAATTATAGTCTTTAACAACAAAGTATAGACCTTTTAAAGTCAGAATAGTTAGATATGGAAGTTAAACGGCTTATCCTTAATATTTTAAAAAGCACTTGTATACGTATTTGATTTTATAGTTTCTGTACAAAATAAATATTTTTGATGCAGCACAATTTTTATATTACTAAGTTTGATTTATATTTTTTAACACAGCTCTTGTCACTTATTCTATAAATTCATGAAATACTAATTCTGATAAAATTATAAATACATAAACTTGTAAGACCTGAAAAGAATTAGAGATTTAATAGCTGTACAATGATTGTTTTAGATTTAGTGGTATTACAGAAAAGGACATGGAAGGGGTTACAACAAGATTGCGAGACGTTCAGGCAGTTCTGCTCAATATGTTTAGTGATAAAACAATTTTGATTGGACATAGCCTTGAAAGTGACCTAAAAGCACTCAAGGTAAGTTTCCTCTAAGTAAGACATATAAATCTTGCATTGGAACATGCTCTAATAATGTTTTATATAAAGTATTACCTACTTAGAGCCATTGGGTGATTATAATGCAATGATCAATTCCACTCTTTGATGGTAAATAGTCGGCAATGGCTGCTGTCTGTTGAATCCATTTCTTCTGGTTGGCAGTTCAGAATTAGGAAAGACAGCAGATAGGCTTAATAGCTTTGACATAAAACAAACAATCAAAGCTTCAAAAGTATATTTTTATTTATTTCTGTGTTACATATTCAATGATTACAAGTCATAGAAGTTTTGTTTTCCAGATTATTCACAGTACTGTAGTGGATAGATACATCTGTTGTTTTCCCACACAAACAGGTCTTACTTTTCAAACAAGCCTTACAAACTCTCATGGCAGAACATCTTAATTAGGAAAGGCAGCAGATAGGCTTAACAGTATTGAAATAAAACAGAAAACAGAGCTTCAAAACAATTTACTACTCTTTAAATTACAACCTAGGTAAATACTTCAAATGGATTTTGGAACCTTATGTTTCCAAAATAAGTACCCAATTAAGGAACACTTTACTTCCCCCTACAACACTTACAGTTTAGTGACATCATTATGTCTAACTTTGATGCCATAAACCTACTCCTTCAATCCCTTTGTCATGAGGCAATAACTTAATGCAGAAATTATTTCACAAGACCCAAAAAGAGAATCAACATAATTTGGGAACACTTAATCGAACTGTTACCATTAGCCACACTTATTTGCTTTCATTATAGAGATTTGTACTTCCTCCAGTTACATGGACTTGCCATGGGAAATCCATTATCAGCTACTCTGACCACTCTTTTTCCTACATCTCATAGAACATGCCATAGTCACTTCCTTAGATATTTAGATGATGTTTTTTGTGGCTTTACTTGTCAAGATGAACAAAACTTCTTTTAACACGTAAACAACCTACATATAAAGATATACGATTCACAGTTGAAAATTAAAATAACTGCACAATAAATTTTATAACATTAACATCACATGAACCCATCAAGACTTCACCACTAAGATTCATAGGAAAGATACATACATGCAGAAATATTACATAAAATGGTTTTCTAATCATGTAATCCACCAGAAACTAAGCATGCTAAATTTAGGATACAATATATGCACCACAGAAAACATTGAGAAACAAGTAACACACCTAACTCATTGTTTTACTAACATTAACCAGTTCCCTACTACAGTAGTTACACCAACTATTGACAAATCTATAAAAACACAGACAACACACGTTAAATAAACAAACTCAAAAAATCACTTTCACCATCACGTGGATATAAAATTTTAGTATACCTCTATCAGAAATTTAGAAAAGATGACCACAGAAATATAACCTTAACATAACAACTAACCTCTGAAACTAAAATAAAACGCATGTTAAGAAAATTGTATAATAAACCCACCCCAACAAGAAACATTTACAAAATAAAGTGTATCAACTGCTCAGCCTTTTACATAGCTTATATATGTATATGACTTAAACATCAGGTTAAAAGAACACCAGAATCCCCCCCTTCCCAAGTCCATGAACATATGAGCAAAAGCAATAACAGTTTTATTTGAACAAAATGTTACAGTACTGAACATGAACCTGACATTAACAGAAGAAAATCAAAGCTTTAGTAATAAAATCAAACAATCCCACAATTAACAAATACCCAGGTTCGTCCTTATACGTCTTGGATCGTTATTTCCTCAGACATTCCTAATCTTATGCAAATGTTTCACACATTTTCATATTTATTCTTTTGTTTATGTTCAGCCATAAATAAATAATCTGTCAATTCGTGCGTATTAATATGCACATGTATAAGTAACTAATATCAGTTCTAAAAATTCTTCGTTACTGTTAAAACCATAAATGATTGCACCAGGGATCAAAATTTCATACCTGTTTTAAAAATATTTTTCCTTACTGTTAAAGCTGTAACTTGTAACAAAATACTATACTTATTTCTGTGTTACATATTCAATGATTTTAAGTCATAAAAGTTTTGTTTTCCAGATTGTTCACAATACTGTAGTGGATACATCTGTAGTTTTCCCACACAAGCGCGGCTTACCTTTCAAACGAGCCCTACGAACTCTCATGGCCGAACATCTTAATAAAATTATACAGAATGATGGTAAATTGTCACGTAACATGAAATGTTGTGTTAAACTTAATAATTATAAGGAATGATGGTAAGTTCTCAAGTAACATGAAATGTTGTGTTAAAACTTGATAATTACAAAGAATGATGGTAAGTTCTCAAGTAACATGAAATGTTGTGTTAAAACTTGATAATTACAAAGAATGATGGTAAGTTCTCAAGTAACATGAAATGTTGTGTTAAAACTTGATAATTACAAAGAATGATGGTAAGTTCTCAAGTAACATGAAATGTTGTGTTAAACTTGATAATTATAAGGAATGATGGTAAGTTCTCAAGTAACGTGAAATGTTGTGTTAAAACTTGATAATTATAAGGAATGATGGTAAGTTCTCAAGTAACATGAAATGTTGTGTTAAACTTGATAATTATAAGGAATGATGGTAAGTTCTCAAGTAACGTGAAATGTTGTGTTAAAACTTGATAATTATAAGGAATGATGGTAAGTTCTCAAGTAACATGAAATGTTGTGTTAAACTTGATAATTATAAGGAATGATGGTAAGTTCTCAAGTAACGTGAAATGTTGTGTTAAAACTTGATAATTATAAGGAATGATGGTAAGTTCTCAAGTAACATGAAATGTTGTGTTAA